AGCACTTTTTGTCACCATTAAACGTAAAAACTTACGGGCATTTGTAGAAGGCATTGCTTGCACAGTTTTCCCTCGAGAATTTGATTGAAATTTGAGGTGATTGGTGAACTATCAATGAAAAATTCATTACTGCACAAAATAAAAATAAATAAGTAGTAATTTGATAAGTAATGCCACTAACTAGATAAATTTCTTAATGCTATTTTTCCAAATAGGCGAAAAAAATTTTTTTTTAATATTTTGTTTTCTCGTATCTCGAACAAAGAAGAAAGAATTTGACAAACTCCCTCAGAAATGCGTTAAAGGTTTTGTCGCTTCAGATTTTGCTTACTTTTAATATTCAAATTACTGTTCTTTTTCTTCACCTACAAGTATTACAACAAATTTACTTAGCATGTCGAATTCTTTATTAGATTTGTATTTTATTTAATATGAACATTTATCGAGTTACTTCTTGCGATAAATATGATAGTTTTCAAGTTTATTGAAGAACATTTTTCATGTTTTTTACTCAAATTTGATTTGAATTAAGTATGCTATAGATTAATGAATTAAGTATGAATTAAGTATTTGATGAAGTATGCTATAGAATGATTCTTCAATCGTTTTTTACATACAGCCCTTTGCACACACATCTTCCCTGGGTACGCCACTAGCTCAGAGAAGTATAATATAATAATAAATACACAATAATAAAGTATAATAGACAATAAAGTATAATAATAAACAATAAAGTATAATATTTACAAATAAGTACTTTAATTATTCATTACAACGGAGAAATTCGTTTTAAAATTTTATAGTTTCCCTGCATTTGATATAGATTTCTGTAGGTCATACATTGTGAGATGCATAATAACCTAAAGAGAAAATTTGAAAGCAGATCAAAGGTTATCGACTTTCGGTAAAAACTTATGTAAAAACAAAAACAGTTTAAAATGATCCTTTAAGATTTCACATTATAAATTAAATACTAATTTATTACCATATTTTCCATGGTAAATATATAGAAAACTATAAAAATGCAAGAACTTTGGGAAATAGATGCTAATATCAATGATGTATAAAATTATTTTCTACGCTAATTTATTTTTCGTTGTTGTGCTAAGCTCTCGATAAACTTAAGGCCTGGTATTTCTTTCAGTTCCACATGCAGTGACGTATATTTGACGTAGCGAAATCGAAAATTCTAAAAAGTTGCTGGTCTTATGTGTATAATTCATTATATCTACAATCAAAGAGTAAAATGAACTCAATAATATATTTGTGTAAATTGTTTGCATTGTTACAGCTCTTTTACTAATTAAATCTTGGGTTTCAATTAAATCTCTTTCAACATAACTAAAGCATCGCAATATCACTTACAGACTAATCCGAAAAATTTTATTCTACTTTTACGGGACTTGGAATTCGCAAATTCTTTTTCGAAACCATTAACAACATTTTCAATCGTTTGAGATTAGACTAACTTATTTAAATAAGGCCAAGTACACGAAGGTTTAAAATAAAATAAAATCAATGAAATTTAAATGTCTACCAGAACATACCTTTTAATATTGTTACGGTAATTATAACTCGCATAAGTTTTTGATTACTTTGTTTGAGTATGGTAAAGCACACAAGAAATATCTGCCTAAGAGGACGGACGTCTTCGTGGAGAAACTGACTCATATTCATCTTGAACATGGAGAAGAACAAAAGCGATCACACAGCCAAGCCGTTGCAAGTGAACAACGAGGTGCTCTGTACATACTGGAAATAATAGCGATACGTTTAAGATAAAGTTGAAGAGAAAGTCTACATGTACACCACAGCAACTACTGCTGAAAAAATGAATACTGTATACATCACATGAAAAATTGTAACAAGAGGACATTAAAATCTTTCTAAGCAACCAAACTTCTAAATTAACTTGTTGTGTATCACAACAAATTCCATTTTTAGGCTCCCTTAACACATGTTGGCCCTAGTGGGAAATCGTGTTGGCACATATATTGAAATGTCCACTGCGTCATAGTTTACCAAACGTTTTAGCTCATCCCTTTCCTTACTCTTGCAACAATGGTAGATTTCCTTTCAATGTGATGTGTGGCCACTGAATGAAAGCATATAAGACTTTGTAAAGATTATGTTAATTTTATTTACAGTTAAATTTTGAGTTAAACTTCCTTTCCTATTGCTTCTTAATTTAAACTTACCACTTCCGGCTAGAACGTAGTTTTAGAATACCGTTTGTATGCAAATTGAGGAAGAGCGATATTTAACCTCGAAGTTCTACTGTCTTAGAGAGAACCAGAGATTCTGGCTAACACGCGTCCCCCTTTTTAGGCTACTTCTCTCTTAAGCTATTATTACGTTCGGTCGTACTTTAGGCCCTTAATAGCTTCGCAATCAATTAGCGTTAAGGGGCCAACTCCGTTAGAATCTTGATAGCTTCGGCTATATCTTTTTAGTTAAGATTAGTTAAGCTTTAATTATTAGTTTCATAAGTTCAATCCGCCCGAGTGCCGGCTTTATTGTAAAACTCCAAGACGGAGTTCTGGTAAATCTTATTTGAATAATAAAGGGTCTTTTAACCCTTTCCAAGTTTTAATTACTGTCTCACGAACTCAAGCGATTATTCGCTTACTAGTTCTTAAGATTCTTCACATTCAACTGCAACTTAAAGCACACAGTGGAGAATCTTACAACTTTTTAGGCAGTTATTGCACTATCACTCCTTTAAATTAATAATTAAGTAAACTATGTTTGCCAAGCGTACTTTTATTTCCCATTTTTCTCGACACACCTCGGAATAGTAGCGCTCCTCTAGATCATCTCAGCTTTCGCTCTAGCACGTAGTATAAAATACCGCCAAGCACAGCGATAAATTGAGTCGCCAGATTCTCTCAAGTCCGCCGAAAAGAACATCTTCTAGAAATGAAGAAACAGAGGACAGTTTTAGATTCTCTCGGGGGACCGTTGTTTTTTTTCCAAAGATGGGGAAGAAGCGAGAGTTATTTGTTCCATGCGATTTCGCTTGCCACGACCGGTGACATGGAATAAGAGCTCTAAATATAGAAGCTAATAAAGAGAACATTTGGAAAAGCTGAAAATGACGAAGGATGTGTCTTATGTCAAACATGAAAGATAACAACAGTTAAATGCATTAACTGGTACCAATTTGATTTTCGCGATGGTTTTATTCCTTTAGAGGCAAAATGTGATTTCTCTTAGGTTGGTTGAGGTAGATCAGCGCTTTAACTGCACACGTGCACAGACACACAGGAGCTTGAACTGGAATTTACAAGAAAAAAGATGGTGTTAATTTTAACATATTTTAAAATTTTAAATACTGCCGCTGTACTTCACTGAATCTTTCAGATGTCAAATGTTGGTTAAATATTTTGAATAGCACGATTGTAAAAAATTATTTAACAGGAGAAGATTCTCTCTTTTTTTTTTTTTTTTTTTTTTTTTTAATTATTTTTAACAGATTAGTGTTCAATAAACAATTCAAAACTTCCAAATCGAATTTTATTTCCCTTGTAAAATACGACGGCCCTTCCTTAGATTACATGAACAGACTATCAGTGGCCAAATGCTTAGGAATACTTACACATGTAGTTCGACGGGTTTCAAATCTTAGAGAAGGGACTGGCTACATGAAAATTTTTGTGGTTTTATACACTCGTAGCATGAATATGAGCAAGTTTTCCTTGAAAAATGAATAGCCTGTCTGTGCTTTGCCGTATTCAAACGAATAAATAAACACTCATGAATCTTAAGAACTAAATCTAATCATAATTTGATCAGTGCTGCGGGTTAGATTAGGCTATTAGGACATGACAACGCCCACGAAGCTTATCTGCCTAAAGCCATGGATACCTTCGTGGAGGACTTTCCAAAGGAAACAGGCTCGTATTCACGTTACGTATTGTGAAAACCATGCAGAATTAACCATGCAAAACAGAACAGAAAGAAATAGACGGATATCTGAACTTCCCGATGGTTTTTCGGGTATCATCCTTACCCACTAACTTAACAGTTCCATCCCAATTTTTATGGACAATGCCCCAGGGATCGATTCAAGGGTCTCCAAATCCCTCTTTCCCTCCCATCAAACCTCTTGAGAGGACTTTCAGCTCATCACTATCAAATGCTGCACAGACACACTCAAACATGCGTGATTTCTCTAGGTTTCGAAGCCGGTCTCAAAGGTACAGCAGGTAAACATCGCTAACCAATATATCGATTAATGTAAGCCAGCCGCTTCGCCAGAGTTCGAACATAGGTCAAGCATCTAGTATTCAGCGATCTTAACCACTCGACCACTGCTGGAGCCGAGTGGCTGCTGATTTACTAAAAGTCACCAGATATCGCTATTAAGTCAACAAAAATTTAAATACAGTCAGCGCTCCATCAGTTGTTAAAGTGAATTATTCAAATAGTAGTTTCGCATGTACTTGTAAATAGCATTTTGAAATATATTTATAGATATTCTTTGACACACTATGATAGATAGATTACAGCATTTTTAGGTCTAGCTGTTGCGTACACTATTATCTATATCCAAACAAAAACCAAATGAAAGTGATAAAATATAATAATATAATTTACATTTGATTCTCTGCATTTCTTTATTGAATTTAATTCAAACGCTCATCATCTACTTCAATTGGTAATGTATTTTCACTATTGCGAGAGAGTGTCACTTGACTATGGACTTTTAATTACCAAATACTTTGATACATTTTGAATAATACAATGTGATGAGACCAAGAGCCTTTCAATGCAGACATCCCTCTAGTACTTTATGAAGATAATTTTCATATTTTATTTTCTATTTTTCACCATGAAAACATTTTTTTTTTTTTTTTTTTTTTCAATTTTGCTACTGTGGCGTATTTACCAATCCGATGCCGTTCGCTGTTACACGTGACTATTGGTCATGCCCCCTTTCACCAACTAGCCCGGACGCATATAAGCATTCTGTACCGCACCACGCACATAGGTGTACTACTTGCTTCGGCAAGTGCGTATATCAAAAATTGGAACAACGCAGAGAAGATTAGCATGGTCCCTGCGCAAGGATGACACGCAAAATCGTGAAGCATCATCAATTTTTGGGAGGGGGGAGTTCGCTGGTGTACTTCGAAGTGGTAGGGCGTGTTTTCGGCTCGCTCGTGCTGATAACCTTCGATACGCTACCCATGCGGTTTTTCTCGTGCCATTTTGTTCGCCATATTGGATTTCAATCTTTTTCAATGTGTTATTGCGATGTCTTTTCGACTTTATGATTCAGTGACTGCTTAATTTGGCGCTTATTTGTGCTAATTCGGTGTGTTCTTCATGGCGGGAAAGGAATTTCTCCAGATTATCTCTAACTCTGGTGTTAAATCGATAGCCTTCCGGAATCAACTTCTTACGCTTACGGATGATCTGATCAAATATGCAAGTCGTAATCTTGCCGATTATTGGCAAGACCTCATTGCTAAGGATACTTACTCGGTTACGGACTGAATGCTAAGATACTTATGGACGGAATTCAAGGGAATATTAAACGAGATGCGGATACTCTAGAGACCTATACCCAATTTCTTGAAGATGAGAATATGATAAAAAACTGCGTACGGACTATGAAAAAACCAGAGCTTTTAATGAAAGGATCTACAGCATTTATCAAGGTAAGTGCGGTGTGGTGGTGTATTTAATTATGGCAAAGCACACTAGGGCTATCTGCCTAAGGGGAGGGATGCCTTCGTGAAGGACTTTCTAAGGGAAACTGACTCAAATACACGTTACACGTGGGGAAAACACCCATGCAGCCAGCCCGTTCGCTGGCTTCGAACCTCGGACCGAACTACCAGTGTTCAGCGACTTTACCGCTCGGCCGCTGGTGGGCCCAAGGTAAGTGCGAATTAGCACTTACCTTGATAAATGTTCTGAATCCTTCTTATGCAAATGTAACTTTTGAAGAACTTTGAACTTTTGTGCTCTGAATCCTTCTTATGCAAATGTAATTTTTGAAGAAATACTTGTTTTAAAACATATGAGTAAAATTCCATGTGTTACTGATAAAGTAAATACTAGCTGTAATGTGTCAAATATTGATAATGTAGATACTGATATCTCTGATAAAAATGTTGATGTCTCTAATGTGAATGATAACAGTAAACCTAAACCCCGTCGGGCTTCTAAAAGAATTTCAAAACGTGTGTTAAACGAAACTCAGGATAATGAAGGGTATATCCTTCCTAAAAATACTGCTAGACACAGTAAAATTATTAAGTGCAACGTTGAAATTCCTCTTACGAATAAATTTGAACAGTTATCTGCAAATAATTCTGATAATGATGTGCAAATTATAAATGATAACATGGATACTAATAATTCTGATATAGCTCTTAATGTGGCTAAGCCAAAACCCAGACCAATAATGGTTAAACCGGAAATCAAATTCGGTGATTTTATGAAAATATTAAAAAGTGAAGCTAAATGTGAATTTGCGGGTAAGGTCAATGGGGACTTCCTTAAGATCTTACCCAGTTCTGAAGATGACCACAGAATCATTACTAATTATTTAAACCTGAAAAAGTTGATCACTATGTGATACTAACGAAATTTGACAGACCGGCTGAAGTTGTCTTTCGTGGCTTGCCCCCCGACTGCCCAATTGAAGAAATTTCTGACGAGTTAATCATGTTAGTAGTTAAAGTGAGACGAGTTGCTCGTATGCATCGCATCAAAACGGGGGTCCCCATGCACTTATTCCAAGTTCAGGTGGAGAACACCCCTGGGGTGGAAAAAATTTATGATATTGCCAAATTTTTGGATTTTTATGTCTCTGTTAAAAAAAATAATGTAAATGGAAGTGTTGTGCAGTGTCATAACTGCCAATACTTCCATCACTCTTCGGATACCTGCAAGCTTAAGCCCAGGTGTGTTAAATGCGCTGGTCCTCACAAAACAGCTGATTGTTCCAAAACAAGATTAGAAATTGTACGTTTCTGTAACTGTAATATCAAACAGGACATATTGCAAATTTTAGCGGGTGTCCTAAATTTCCTGGGTAAAAGCGCAGAATAGGCTGCATCAACAAAGTTCAGAAGGCGGAGTGGTGGGACTAAGCTTGTGACGTCACAATGTGGTATTCTCACATTTACACTACGCGTACTTTCTATTTTCTATTAAATATACAATAATAAATTGTTTATTATTGTAAATTAATATTAAATTCTTTACTTTAAATTTACGCTTATAACATTTAAGCTTAGGCGTTACTGATAATAAGCATAATAAATTGTTTATATTTAAAATTACCATGATACAGTGGACGAATTCTACCAATTATTAAAACGATAAACAACGTCGTAGTCTCTAATGCTTGTACAGCTTCAATATTTTCAAAGATTTTTTATTAAAGCATTTATACAAATAAAAAAAAGATTTTTTTAAATTTAAATTCATATTGTGGAACATTTCAATTTTATCATTTTTACAAATAACCTTCTTGCTACGTAACGACATAATTCCTTACATACCAATAATTACACAATTTTCATTATTTTCTAAAAATTTTCAACTTTACATAAATAAAAAAGAAGAACATTTTTTATTGCATATGAACATCATACACAGCTTTCATATCAGTTTCTAAAATTCCTAAATCACGTCATATTCTCTGTAGGCATACTAGAATTCTACGCATTAATAAATAAAAAGAATCTAATTTCTCAGAATCAAAGAAAATAACATAAGAAAATAAATACTACAAACTTGGAACACTAAGCAATGCTTCACATACGCACACACACACACATATTATCAATAAATTCATATTATCAAGTGCAATTACGATACCAAACACTGCGTATTAAAATATGAGGTAAACGTTACTTAAAGTGTCAAAGTTTACAGTTTTGCTACTGTTGAGTAGATCGTCGGACTATCGATATTTATCGTAAGTCGAAAGCATTATCAACATATCAAAACCAAAAACTTAAAAATACAATTTATATAACAAAAAAGGTGTCACAAATATGATTTACAGTTAACACAATAATACAAATTTAAAATACACAAACGATATGTTAAACATTACACATAAATAAAGTTACATTACTGCTCGGCATCACATACAACCTCATTTCACAACGATCAGTATTCGCTCGAAAAAATATCAAAGAATGCTACAAACTCGGTGTCCATGTGCTCATCCATATATTTTCACTCAAAGGAAAATCAGAGAATTGGTTTTGCCCATGTGCACATCGATCTATTTTCACTTAAAAAAACACCACAGAATTGCCCAACCTCGGCATTGCGCATCACATTGGTTTTGCCCATGTACACATCGATCTATTTTCACTTAAAACATCACAGAATTGCACAAACTCGGCATCGCGCACAACCTCGGCATTACGCCCCACATTGGTTTTGCCCATGTACACATCGATCTATTTTCACTTAAAAAAAAATCACGGAATTGCACAAACTCGGCATCGCGCACAACCTCGGCATTACACACCACATTGGTTTTACCCATGTGCACATCGATCTATTTTCACTTAAAAAAACACCACAAAATTGCACGAACTCGGCATCACGCACAACATCGGCATTGCGCACCACATTGGTTTTGCCCATGTGCACATCGATCTATTTGCACTTAAAAAACATCACAGAATTGCACAAACTCGGCATTACAGAACACATTGGCTTTGCCCATGTACACATTGATCTATTTTTACTTAAAAAAATCAGACGTTGAATAAACTTTGCATTGCTCATATACTCAGAAATCTGTTTTCACTTAAAAAAATCAGAGAAATGCAAAAACTCGCGCGTAACCAACTCCACTGATATGAGTTGTCCAATTTACTCTTCGCAAACTTGGAGTTTTTTCGAACAGACCTTGAAATTCGATGAATATTACATTCACCTCCAATAACTCTACACATCCACTCACAACCGTCTGTACGGTTCTTTCGCTCTACTAGTTTCATATCTGTTTCATAAAATGGGCACTTATACGATATTGCAATCAAACTTTTCTCAACGCTCTTTTTACCTCTTCGCTCCAACTGATAAAAAAAAAAAAAATCCAGATTCAGATACTTAACCATTCTGCAGTAAGCACCGAATTAGACACACTCATCAATAATCAAAACATTCTTTAAGAATTCTTTTCTGTATTTTCAGAAGTTACGGTTACAATTTTTAACTCATGCATTCAATATTTTCAATCGTTTGGTAATGATCGTTTTCAATCGTTTGGTATCTTAATAATACATTTGTGAGAGATAATCCGTTACACTACCACACAACACACAAAAGTAGATTTATAATTAAAAAAATCTCGCGCAGAACATTATAAACCTAACATTTAAACTCAGTTAAAATTTATTTTAAGTTTTCGTTAAATACGGAGCTACAGCATACTTATAACTTGTTTTTAAGAAGAGGCGTAACCAATATTACATCACCTAAAAAGGCGTGTCCAAGCATAAGAGAAGTAAACACAGCATCGACTGATGCAGTCTATTCTACGATTTAGCCATTTCCTGCACCCTATGTAAACAATAAGCCTTCTGAAAATATTCAAACTAATGATTATGTAAACCCTAACTCCAATGGCAATTATGTTAAGAAAACTACTCATATAGTTAAAAACAAAGCCTATTCTGATGCTATAAACAACCTGCACACTAGTAAGCTCTAGCCATGCCACAATCACTGATGATTCTAACATAAGCAAGACTGATGCCTCTCGCTTCAGTGCATTTCTGAAATTTTCCCACCAGCGGCTGAGCGGTAAAGACGCTGAACACTGGTTGTTCGGTCTGAGCTGGCTGCATGGGCGTTTTCGTGGTTTTCCCCATGTGTTACGTGTATACGAGCCAGTCTCCCTTAAAAAGCCCTCCACGAAGGCATCCCTCCCTTTAGGCAGATAGCTCTCGTGTGCTTTGCCATAATTGAATAACCCTAACCCTAACCCATTTCTTGAAATCATTAAACTCCTCAAGGAATTAGGTAAAATGTTTCAGGGTATCTCCCTCCGAGAAGTACTAGCTAAAATTACCTCAAAAATACCAGAAATCAAAGCTGCAAATAATTCGTTAGATA